TATTTCTTGTCTATAGCTTGTGCTAAGCAGATGTGATGCTCACTCCCCCTTCTGCTCCTGTACACTATAGTCTTCGGTTTGTACTTTGCCACTCAACCAAGACTTGCATGTAAGGACTGATCTCAACCAGCTGCTTAGTGTTCTGTCAGATCAGACAAGGTGAAATGCCATTTGCAGCAGAATACAATTAGACTAAGGAATCTGTATGGAGTTATACACATGTGATATTCCTATCTAAACTCCTGTCACAGGCCATGGAGCTAGAGAGCTCCTCAGATGACCCAAGGTGGGGATTTGCTTCACATTGAACTTGAGGAAGCAATAGATTTGTTTTGCTGTGAGGGATCCAGCTTACTAATCAGAGATGTTTTGAGGACACGTGCATTGAACTGACATTACAATTCATGTTCTGTGTGAATCTTCCATCTTATGGATTCATGGGAAGAAGGGAAAATTATAATGAATTTCCATAGTGGACCATAGCAGGAGATCAGCTAACTAGCTACATGAAGACACCTCTATGCAAAATCAAACCCTGTTTGGAGCTTGGTGCTGATAGCTGTTTTATGACCCAAATTTATTTTCATTAAATGCAAGTGTTTGCTGGAGACTTTGCTGGAGTAAGGTTAGACAGTTTGAAGCTGCAGGGCTACAAGATGGTGGGGAATTCATTTGCATTTTATATAAAAATAAGCCCATCTATTGGTATGTGTTTTGGCTGCACCAGGAGGAGAGGTTTGTGTCATGGCAGCCAGAGTGAGTGATTTGGAAGCATCTCTGTCATACAAGCAACTTAGCCAGGAAAGGCAAATTAAAATTACCAAAAAAAAAAAAAAAAAAAAAAAAAAAAAAAGGACAGGAAAACATATCTGATTCTTCTGCATATGTTTCATGTTGAAAAAAAAATTACAGAAAATTCCTCTGTTTACTGAAGTCTTCAAATAAATACAACCCTACCCTTTCCTTGCGAATTAGTGGTTGAGGAAAGAATCTTGGCTTCTGAGATGAGGAAGCATCACATAATGATTGCTACAAGTTTGTTTGCTTATTTTAGTAGCAGATTTTTTTTTCAATCTTTAACAGTAAATAAAACACAAAAAGGACTCCTTTTGTAGCGGGCAAAAGCCTTTGCACTACAACCTTACTGAAGTGCAGCTATCTCCAGTGTCACCAGTGGTTGCTTGTGGGTCATAGCTTTGAGGAGATACCACAGAAAGGAGTGACCAATTCCTTCTCCAGATTGATGCTCTCTGATTAGCTATTTGGATGGTGAGATTAAAAATTATACTATTGTTTAGAAACTCTGTGACATCAGTTGTCCCTTCTGTTCAATCTAAATATGGCTCAGACACAAATAGTGCTATCAAAACACAAATCCCGGGCTTCTTCTCTTAAAGGCATGGTGAAATGAGTTGCCATCTCTTCCTGCTTTCAGAATGTGCAGCTGTAACTGGGTGGGTATTTTTGAGATCTCCAGAATGCATATGAAATACTTTTTTTTTAAAGGCATCTTTTCTGGTGCCTGGAAAAGCTTCTGTGCTTTTCCAGGCACATTTTCCTCAGGCCATGCCTGTTCCATGTCCCTTCCTCACTGCTCTCTTTGATAACTGTGATTGAGAAGGGGACCTTCCACAATTCCTCTAACATTTAAGCACAAAAACATGTGAAACCATGTTCAAAGACAGGTATAGTATGCTGTTTATCCATATTAAGAAAATCTATAGATAATATGGATCTTAATATGGATCTTAATATGGATTTTTTCCCCCTCAGTTCAGACATATTGGTACTGGCTGTGTTTGGATATGTGCTCCTCACTCTTTTTGCTGTTGAACTAACCTCATTCAACTTCAGTGGCCATTTAAACCACTTAACTTGTCATTTTGTGTCACAAAATCAGAGAACACTGGACGTTCAAAGGGACTCACCCGGGAATGTGTCCAGCTGATGTCTGGATATCTCCAAGGCTGGAGATTCCACAATGTCTCTGTCAACCTGTTCCAATGTTCAATCACATGATGCTCAAAGTAAATTAATGTTTTCTTATGTTTGAATGGTATTTCATATATCTCCTAGGTTTTGACAGTGGTCTCTTTTCCTGTCACTGTGCATGGTATTATATCCCCTTCAATGCCCATATTAGGTATTTCTACATACTAATCAGTCTACTTCCTGAACATTCTCCTCTTCCAACTCTGTTAGGAGACTTAGAGGTCCACCATATGGGTCCACCGAGACCCCTGGGTCCTTCTCTGCAAAGCTTCTTTCTAGCCAGCTGAACTGCTTTCTGGCCAGACAGCTGTGGAACACATCACCAAGACCTGATTTATTGTTTTTCAGCTGACTACCATCAATGTTGTAATAAGCTAACCTCACATGAAGGTGTATCTCACTGCAGTCACACACTTATGGTTTAACTCCTGATTGCCTAGTTGTTTAGCCCATCTGAATCAAGACAATAACTACTAATTTTCGTTTGGTCTGAGATGTCTTTCAGGTAACTTCTGTCCTTGAACAGGACATGCCTGCCTTCGTGGAGGCTTTTTAATACTTTTTTTTTTTTTTTTTTTTTTGGAGGAAGGGAACAGCAGTTTTCACCACAGCTGTCTGTCTACGTCTTAGGTCCTGCAAGAAGACAGAGTTAATGGCAAAGTTCTTCTGTAGCTTTAGCCATTTCTTGCAGTGGTCTTATTTAGAGATGTTGGACATAGTGCTGAATTCAAACTCCTCACTGATTAGTGATTACTTTGGGTATTTTTCTCCTACCTTTATGTCCAAGAATATGGTGTAGTTGGGATGTAGAAGGTTTTGGGATGAGAAAGCACCCAGCTTTCTCAAGTGAAGAGATTCAACAAATGTGTACCACCCCTTAGAAGTTTCCTTCAGAGGCTTCAGAAAGATTTCTGTTCATTCCTCCTGCTTGCAGTGATAATTTTAGTCTCTCAGTTGCCTGAAGAGGAATTATGTGAAGCCTCCACTGCTCAACTCCTAAAAAAACAGGTAAAAGTTGTTATTCAGATGCTGTTAACAGCAAAACCCCAAAATTTGGACTAGGAAGAAAAGAGAGAGAGAAGAAGAAAAAAAAAAAAGAAAAAAAGAAAAAAAAAGATAAAAAAGCTTTTCTACACCAAAAGTAATTCAAGAGAGAGGAACTAAAATATAGCATAAAAATTTTGCTTCTTACAGTACATTTTATTCCAATCAATTGACAATAGCATCACAATGCAGTATTCAGCCCAGTTAGAATGTGACTTTGAAATCTAGAATGAATTAAGAGAATCTGTGAGGATCCTGGAACTCCATTCTTTTCTTTGTAGTGCCTTGTGTGCTGAATAGCTGTAAAATTAAATACCTAAGCTATTCAAAATCTTGGTCTTGTCTAGCTGAAAGAAAAGAAGTCTACTCAATTTTATTCCTTGTATGAGGGGCTGAGCTGACATTATAACGTAATGAGAGAGTAGAAGCAGTTCTTGCAAGGAAAGAGAACATCTTTTCTGCTGCTTACTTCTGCTTCTTAAATAATGAGCATATTACACTGTCCAACTCTTAAGTGGCCAGCTGCTCAACAAAGATTAACTTGAAAAGATTATTGAATCCAAAGGTACCTGATTATCAGTGCAAATGCTTGTGAGGGGAATCCAGACGCTATGGGTTTTACTGGCATAGGTCACCACTGCCTCATGCATCGCTGACTAGGGAAGTGCCTGTGATGGGTATGTGAGCCAATCAGATTACTTTTTCTTTTCATTTTCTATTAGCTTCCATATTAGCTTTCATTAGCTCCTTCCATAAGGATCCTTGGAGTCTGCCTGTGATTAGCCAGATGAATGGAAAAGTCTTTTCCCACTGGGAAAGAACCACTATAACCACTAGGTGTTGTTAGTTTTCCCATGTTTATTTATGAGAAAATATAGCAGGGGCTTTTCTCAGATTTTTGGCGAGAAGAGAAGAGAGGGTTGCATTTAGTTAGGACTGCTTTTAGATAGGACTTAGGGAAAATATATAGAACCTGGAAAAGGAATGTGGAAAGGAAAACCAAGTGATCTTCTTGGTTCCACCAAGTTCCTAAGTAAGTGGTGGATAGAGGTTAAGTAACTGCCATTGCTGTGACAGCTCAGGATGAGCCACTCTGAGAGTTTGCAGATTTTACCCCTGTAATGGCCAAGTTTCCATGATTTCCTACCAAAGACTAACATAAAAAGCACAAGGAAGATTCCTCTAGGTTCCATTTACTCAGAGCAGAAGACTCTATGATGAGTCTTCACAGAGAAATGAGTATTGTTATCACATTAAATATATAAAATATAAGAAAGAGGAAAGGATTTGTGGATGCCTCCCTCCCCCCCTTATCAATAATGTCAACCAAAAATACGAAATAACGTTGACAAATGATGCATGTGTGTTTGTGTTACATTGAGGCTATACTGGATTAACTCAGCTAAGTCTCAGCCAGTCTGGAGCTGTTAGTCTGTGTTTAGCCTGGCAGGCACCATGCAAGAAAAGTCTTGTGTGCAAAGTGTGCAAGGGATCGGCATGATAGCACAAACCTGGCTTTGGAGTGTGAGGGGACTGGGAAGCTGGGAGCAGGGATCCCACCTGCACAGTGAGCATTTAGAGGCAATGGCTACTGGTTTGAAGAGGGACCTGAAAGAGGGACTATTATCTCGGTTCTGTAAAGCTTCCGACCCATGGCAGCAGCCTTAAAGCCATTAGCTACTCCAAATGTTTACTGTGTTGTGTGCTCCTGCCTGTTAAGGTAAATGTAATTTCTAGCAACAGTTAGGACTGTGATTACTCATTGCAGTCTCATCAGCATTACTCATCTGAAATCAGGATTTCAGATTCCTTTCTCAGCCCCAGTGTCATTTTTCTTCTCTGGATGTATCACCTGCATGTTGTGCTAAAAACTCTCAAAAATCAAGCGAGCTGAAGCATCAGCTGACATAGCCATAGCTTTCCTCCACATCTTTGGGACTCACTTTGTCATGTTCTTTCTCCAGGGGCTACCAAAGACATGGGGAAGATGCTGGGCGGGGATGAGGAGAAAGACCCAGATGCTGCCAAGAAAGAAGAGGAACGGCAAGAAGCCCTCAGGCAAGAAGAGGAAGAAAGAAAAGCCAAATATGCTAAAATGGAAGCTGAAAGAGAAGTTATGAGACAAGGGATTCGAGACAAGGTAGGCTTTCTTTGCCCACTGGACAACTGTTAATGCTCACTGGAGAACTGCTATTTTCAGCTGATTTGGGAGCAGTTCCCTGACTACCTGGGTAGAGCCAGGTAATTGCTTTGCTGCACTGAACTTTCTAATCTTGTGCTCTGTCCCTGGAGCTCCATCCCTGATTAAACAGAACTTTCACACTGAAAAGAACAGCAATATTGAAATAGAGAGTGAAGATAAAGAGAGAAAACTGCATGTTTTCTTTTTACCCACCATCTGTTAACTGATCACATTATTTTAGACCTTACAGGCTTTTCTATCTCTATGTTCATGCTCTCCAAGCTTGCGTTATTGGTTTATGAGAAATGCTATCACTCAGAGAGTTTCTGAGAGACAGAGTATAAATACTTTCTTCTTTTAATTCTATTGCTTCTAAGGTTTTCTTTGTGGTTATGGGTGAAATGGGACAAATCTACTTAACTTCTCTTATTTCTCATTCCACTGCTCAGTGAGAAACCACCTGAAACAGGAGTTTATTAGTGGGACTTAAAGACTGGCAAGCAGACTCTTCAAGTTAATGGCTGATTCTCACAATGTCAGAGTCTGGCCTGAAAAGGAAAGTGACAAATAATTGCAGGGTTCCAGAATAACACTGAAAGCAATGTATGAAACAAACATTTCTGGAAAAAAAAAAAAAAAAAAAGGAGCTTTATTTAATATACTTGAATACATTGCTATAGTGTATTAGCTCTTAGGGACTGATGAGTGGAGGAAAAAGGCTGCTCTGCTGCTTCACCCTCCAAACGAGGTCAAGGTCACCTCTTCAGAGCAAAATAGATTTGTAGAAACAAGCTTTGGAGCTTAGGTGTCCTGGAGAGAAATGTGGCTATGTGTCAGTGGAGGAGTTTCTGGTTGCGAAGTCCTGTCCGCTGACCTGTTTGACGTTCCGAAAGAGAGAAGAACCCTCCTCAGATAAGAGTTAAGATTGAGTATGCACAGTAGGGTCTAGACTGTGGATAAACAAAATCATGTCACTACAGTGTCAAACTGGGAGATACAAGTGCAAGTCAGAGTTTCAGGACTTGCTACAGTCTAAATGAGTGTTTTTTAAAATTATATTTAAGGAGCATGTGTATAAATTATGCTAATCACACAATTGCATTATTAATGTAGAAAGTATACTAATTACATGATTGCATTTATAATACATGCAGCACATATATTTAATGAGCTTTGTGAAACTCTGTCTGAACAATGACAGCAGTCTGGATTAAACATGAGGAAAAGAAAAAAAAAGAACGGTGAACTTCCAAGCTGCAAATATCTGGGATCGTGCCCTGTTTTCAGTGGCCTCTGTCTCTTCTGCTATGCCAGTGAAGTGTTTCTCCATCTACCAGCTTTGTCATTCTACAACATCCATTTTGTGTCCATTATCTGGACTAGGTCATTCAGTTGTCTCTTGACTTTCTACAGCAGGACTGACTGTAATTTGGCTGCTGAAAAACAGCAAGAGCTCAAAACTATACTTGAAGCCGTGGATTTGAGCCAGAAAAGACCTGAGCATGATCCTCTGCCTAAATCCCTTGACCTCCAGACGGAACTTAGTAGACCAGACTTGAAAGAGAGAAGATGCACTACTTCAGTAGCTATTGCTTATCTCTAGCTTATTGCATTTCTAGAGATTCTGAAAAAACACTCAGTTCCCAGAGTGGAAGTAGACTCCAGTCTTGCTTTTCTTTGACCAGCCATATCTGTCTGCTGTGAGGAAAAAGACTGAAGTTTAGTTATGATAATGAAGGTTTCTGTCATCCCAGCTAAGCATGACATCTGTATGAGGAATATGGAGATGTTGCAAATGAAAAGTTCAAGAACTGGAAACACTAAGATTGACTCCACAAATGTAGTAATTCAATGCTATGTCAACACAGTAGCACAAACCTAGACTGTAGGATCACATATCAGTTATTTGTTTAGGGTCCTCAGCTGTCGTATTGCACAGGATAAGGCCGACAGTCTAGTTGATTAGCAAATGTTCAACATTTTGTCTTTACCATTCCCTGTGATATGAGGTTCCAAGCCTCATTTACTGAGTAGTATTCAGATTCTGTTAACAACATAATTTCGTCATTTGGGCTTATTTATGTTTGACTTTTTTTTGTTATCTTTTTGTTACCATATTTGGTGAGGACATGCCACACAAAGGCAAAGGAAGCTTCCAGTTTCTTGTAAGGCCTTGTCTGGGTGTGGGACAAAGGTGATCATTGTTGTTTTCTGTGTGCAAAGTGCCATAGTATGAGTTATTGTGTGGGTATGGCCTCGTTAGCAGAAGTGTGAGGAGATCTTGCATCAGTGAGCCTCTATGGGTAAGAAATTGAGAGGGCTTCCATATTTCCTTTGCTGGTAACAGAGAAATGATGAAGCAGAAGGTTTGATGTTCATTCCTGCCGGCAGCAGATCACACGAGAGGATATCACGCTGCCCTTTTTTGGCTCAAGTCCTTCTGTCTCTGGATGTGTGCCATTATGTTTGCTTCCTATTCTTCTCATTGAACTATTAAATTTCCCCACTGATTTTGGAAATGCCAGTCTTCCGCAGGAAATTTTTCTATAGTATTAGGATCCATAATTTTACAGAAAATATGTCTCAGAAAAAGCATAAAGACTTTCCATGTCTTTGTAGATGCTTAAGAATTATGTAATTTGCAGGTCTTTCATGGCTTAAGGTTGGTGGTATTGGAATTTATATATAGAAAAGTGAGAACATTTGCATTGCTCACAATTGAAAAAGTCTAAGGTCTAAATCACTCAGACAAAAAGGCAATCAGGATTTATAGCTGTAACCTCAGATTCAACCTACAACATCACAAAATTAATTTCCTTTGAATATTAAGTTTGTGTCTTTGCACATGTAACAGGTGCCTGGATGTGAAAATACTGTCTTGAAAGCAGAGGAATACCAGAATTTGGCTCTGTTCTCCAGTAGTATCATATCTTTCACAATAAGCTGTAAGCTCAGGAAGGCAAATTTAACCTCGATAAAACTTTGTTGCTATAAAACAACTTCACAGTGTTAGCCAGAGTCTCCAATATTAGTAAATCCATGGGATCCATAGCTAAGTTCAGGTGCAGATATGGCCAAAGGCTTTAAAAATTCCTACTCAAAGGACTGAAATTTTACTGCCTGAAAACCCACTTCTGAAGATGTAATATTCCATGTGGTGTAACTATACAGTACATTTTTCATCAGAGATTCTTGACAGCTAAAAAGATGTGTAAGTCATAGTCTCTGCATGTAAAAAGTTGAAGGATCTTAAATGAAGATAAGGTTTTTGTGGGCAGTCAATCATGTTCTGTAATTCAAATGATGAAATTCATGTCTCAATGAACAGAAATGTCCTGTCTGACCTTTCCCTCTTTAAATCATTTATACATTAGCAGTAATTTCAATTTTTATCCAGCACTTATAATGTACTGAAGCTATGGCTATAGTTGCTCCACATGTATGCCATAAGTTGATTTTTAGAGAGGTCTATGTTTTGTGGAGATGGAGATGAGTTATTAAATTGACTGATTTAATGGTCTGGTCTGAATAGAAAAAAAAAAATCAAATAAAACATTTCCTTGAAGAAAATAAAAAAAAAAATGAAAAGAGAAGAATCCTCGTTTAATTTAGCTCTGCGCACTTGCTGTCTGTGATGCTCGTAGAAGAATGTCTAGTGATGAGTCACAGACTCTGAGTTAGCAGGACGTCTGCTTGTGATGCTCATGGTGTGGTGATTTGCAGGACAGGGATTGTGTTTTGCATGCTGAGAAGAGGATTCTGGGCTGGATGTGAATAGTCACAGAACCAGTAATGGTGAGGACTTAGAAGAACTGCACTCTTACCAGCAATTAAATGACAGATTGTCCTGGGTGTAGGCTACAAGGGCAATGACGTAAGGCATTTAGTGTTCTGGACACATTGGAAGCATTGGTTACAGAGCCAGTGGGCACTGGATGAAGGCCAAGCAGAATAAAGGCAAGGGTGTGTGCAGATGGAGTGAAGGGAGGCATAATCCCGCAAGTCATTTTCATATGAGTGTTCAGAAGTATCTGCGAGATAAAGTGATGAATACTGTGCTAGACATCACTTCTACCAGAACTTGTGTCCCACCTAGTTGCAGTCATCTATGCTTGAGCTCAGCAGTCTCTATTGAAGGTCCTCTCAGAAGAACTTCTTGTAAGGAAAGAGCTGTGCTGAATCCTCTGTGCTTGCCATTTTTAAAACTCAGGATCGAGGGGCACCATTAACAATCCTTTAGAACTAATAAACAAATTGATTTACTTTGTCCTGCTTCCAAAATAATTAGGAGTTCAATTATTTAGAGCTCAACTGGTACAGTTAATGGCTGCTGATTTCCCCATGGATACCTTTTGGGGCTCATTACTCAACTTCATTGTGCCTCTCTGCCCTACTCTAACTGTGCTAATTATGCTAATCCAAATCTACACCGGTAGATGTCACTTTGAATACTTGCTAACTATGTTGCACTGGGTGATGCTTTTTGTGCTAGTGAAATCTCTCTTTAAGTTGAAGCCTTTTTTTACTGATATGCACTGACTAAGGTGTTCTGCAGGTTCCTTCACCTGAGCTCATTGCTCCCTTGACTTTTGAATCCCTGAACTGGCCAGTATAACCCATACATGTTGCTGGAACAGGGCTGAGGTTTAGGGCTGGCTGCAAAATAAGCATTCTCTGAGTCAAAACCAGGTGAGATACAGGCTCTTCTTTTTTTCTCTTCTTTCTTTCTTTTTTTTTTAATCTATTTTTTTCTTTCTTTTTTTTTGCTAGAGCCAGGAAAAGAGAAAAGATGTCAACCCTGCAGATCAAGAATGTGTGACCTTCATAGTGCAATTCTATCTTTACAGAGCACTGTTGCTGGGCAGAAACACTGTGTACAACCACTGTGTATTACCCAGAGTTTCTGCATGTGCATATTCAAGATTGGATAGGTTCAGTTTAAGCAGAAAGGTATCTTT